TGCTGCCTCTTGCAAGACCAGGAAATCCTGTTCTCCACCCTTGCCAGCTCCAGAGCCTTGCGACCGCCAAGTCAGGAACCTGCTTTCGCGAAGAAGCCATAACGATCAGGAGGCCGCTGCTACAGCTGCCAGCTCCAGCCAGACCCATCCTCTGCCTAGTCCTGTTCACACCCACCAGTCAGGACTCCACACTCTTCCCCCGCAACACCAATGAAGCCAAACGCAGACATCGCTACGAACACTCCCGCAACGAAGTCCCATACACTACAGCTACCTTGTCGGCAGAACTAGTTGAAGCACGGGTGCAGGCGGTGGCTCACTTTGCCCTTCCAAATCACACGTGTGTGCATCTGTGCACGGAATTAAGACAAGCCTAAGAATGCTAGCTGCAAGGGAGTCTAGACAATGTGGTTTTCATGCTCCTAGCTTTTGTTCTAAAGACCCACTACCAGGTGCTTGGTGTATGCATTGAACATTCATCCACCATGGTCCTGCCACTTGGTTCAGGGGTGGAGGGTCTGGTGGGGGGTGAGCCTACATTTCCCTGTGCTCCGATACTGAGCCAGAGGGGATTGCTTGGTGCCCTGGGCCTTAAAGAAAATGATCCCTTCTCTGAGAAAGCCACTCTCAGGGGCCAAGGTTTTTCCTTGGCAACCAGGTTCTCTGTAACCAGTTCACACAAGTTCTCAGAAAGAGACATTTCTCCAACAGACTGGACTAGACTACACTATCCGAGCCAACAGAGGCAGCATGCTGACCCAAACGAGAAATGCAGACTGTCATGACAGGAATCTTAACATCAGAAGGAGGTGATTCTTAATTTCATTTACTTATTTAGATTGAGGATTTCTTTGAGACCCTGATGAAAGCTACAGTCCTTCTACCTAGATAAATACTTGGACACGGAAAGTATTGTGCATAATTCCTAGGGACTCATGGAGAAGCAGATGCTCTAACCTGGCTCTCTGAGGCTCCTTCTGTGCCCCAGGCCCACAGAGCATGATGAGGCTAAGGGAACCAATTGTCCCAGTTTGCCAAGGAGGACATAGACATTCCAGTGCTAAAATTAGGCAAGCCCCAGTCACACCAGGACAGTAAGTTGCCCTAGTTAGCTGAAGTTTCCCTGAGGCCTTGGAAGCAGTGGGAAGTACACCCATGGGAAGGGTGTGTTGGAAGGCTTTGAAACACCACACAAGCAGTGCATTCAACTGAAGCAAAGTGTTGCAGTTGAACTTGAGGTCCCGTGGACTACCCGGGGCCACACACAGG